CAGAGAGAGAGAGAGAGAGAGAGAGAGAGTACCAGTGCTATACATACATATATATGACTGGTATGATGTGTTAGTACCACCAGTGCCACTGCCTTTCACTTGTATCTCTCTCTATGTAATACACATAGACATCACACACACACACACACACACACACACACACACACACACACACACACACACACACAACCTCTCGATATTACTCTCTATTATTGAGTATAGCTTTTATAAAAACTATATTATAATGTATTAGAGATATTCAAGAGAGAGAGAGAGACTGAGAGAGAGAGAGTTAGCACAGTTGGCAGGTTGTTGGGGGAGCAGTGGTCTGGTGGGGGGTTTTGGTTGGCTGGTTGTGGAGCACATAGATCTCTCTCTCTCTCTCTCTCTCTCTCTCTCTCTCTCTCTCTCTCTCTCTCTCTCTCTCTCTCTCTTTAACTCATTGCAGATCTGCTGCATCATTGATTGCATTGCTTGTGTCAAGAGTTTTGCATTTATGGGTTCACTTGAGCGGTGAATAGGCATCGACCTAACCATACCAGATATATACAGTACATACTATACTACTATATGCCATATATATATATATATATTGTAAATAACACACACACACACACCAAATGTGAATGAATTTGCATTTTAAGAGCTTGAAAATTATTGAGCGCTTGTTATATATTATATATATATTTATACCGATATGTCTCTTACACATGCAATGAATCGCTTTTGGATGAGAGAGAGAGAGAGAGAGAGAGATGTTTGATCTGTGATGTGTTGTTCCCCTTTGGACTCAACTCTATATATATATATTGGCTGAGCTCTGATAGCTAGAGCTGTGATGTTTTTGACTCACAGCACATCATACTCTTGGGATTCCTCCTATTTTCCCGATCCCATTGTGTGTGTGCTGTGTATAAGTGATGCCCACACACACACACACATATATACAGTACTGTATATATATATATATATATATATATATATCTATGACATGTATCACAATCTTTTAGTTTCAAATTATATAGTGTTTCTCTGATATAATAGTAAATGATTGCAATCCAAACATACATTATATTATAGCATCACTTGACTAACTGTGTGTGTGTTTTTGTATCACTTATTTTATTGATATATTGCTCCGGTATTTACTACTATACTATACGGTATATCTATATATATATATATATATATTTAGGGTTTCTCTGAGAGTATAAATATATTTATATATATATATATATATAGCGTTATATGTCTTATTTGATATTTTTATTGTTGTTTTTTTATTATATAAATTACCGACAATTTAGAGGATTTTTATTATATTATTTTTTTCTGCAAAAAATAAGTTAATTTTTTTTTGGTTTTTTTTGTTTATAGCAATTGTGTTTATAGTCAGCAACATATGATAGACAAAATTTATTATATATGTATTATAAATGTTATATAATTTATTTATGAATTATTATTATTATTATTAAAAAAAATTCTTTTATTTTATTATTTTTATGTTTTATGTTTAATTCAATTGAATTGAATTGAATTTTCCTATTTATTAAATATTTAATGACAACAAAACTTTGTGCTATTGTGTTATCAATTGTTAACAACAATAAATATAATGTAATATTTTATTAATTTTCATATATCAATACTCATTAGTATTTTTGACATATTTTTTTGGAAAATTTTTTGAATTAATAATATATATCTCATTAAATATTTATTACAAATTTTTTATTTAAAAAAAATATGTCATTGGAGTTAAAAACCATATTTTTGAATCTTTGAATTTAATTATTATTATTATATTTTTTTGAATTAATTATTTAATAATTAGCTAATAATGTTTTATAAATAGATAACAATTTATATTAATTTCTAAACAAATTAATTATTTATTATATATATAAAAAATAATAATAAATATTTTTTGTTGTAATATATATATTCAATATTATATTTATCATAATATTGATTAATTACAATATATAAGTTATATATATATATATATATATGTATATTAAATATAGATTTTATGATTTAAACTCTCATATCTTAATGACAAACATTTTTTATTTTTTGATGACAACAATAATAATAGAATTAATTTCCAGAATATTCTGTCAAAAAGTTAAAAAGTTTTAAAAGTCATATATTTCTATATATTATTAAAACAAATTTTTTATGATAAAATCATTGCAACAAAATATATATATTTTTATTTTAAACACACACATTTGTCTATTGTTAAGATTAATAAATTTAAAGAGAGATTTATTTTTTTTTAGTTTTTTATTTTTCAGTTAAAAATATGATATGCCATATAATATGTTGACAATAATTTTTTAAATATATTTATACAGTATATTCTGTATACTATATATATATACAGAATATATTCAATACTTATATATATATACAGTATATTCTGTGTATATTTGGTTTTAGATTTCCTAAACATTCAATACATATACTCTGATATCTCTAGTCGTCATCGCTTTTAATTCTTTCACTGAGAATATACTGTATATATATATATAAAACACTGACAACTCCTTTAAATCCTACGGGAAATGGGATTAGTTTTTGAAAATGTTTCAATACATATATATATATATATATATATATATATGTTATATAATATATATATATATGTATATGTATACAGTAGTAGTAATAGTAGTAGTTTTGAACTAAAAATTTTTCAAAGAGAAACTTCCGAATCGGTTTTAAAGCAAGATTTTCACTGAAAAAAAATAAATATTATATAAATATATTTTTTTTTGAAGAGTTTTATATATTTTATATATGTGTTGTTGAAAGCATACATATATTTTTTTGTTATATAACACTGTCGACACACATACACCACATACACACACACACACACACACACACACACACATACACACACACATACATACACACACACATACATACATACACACACATACATAGACTTTAGGTTTAGTTATAGTTTTTTTTGTGTATATGTGTTGTCTGTGACTGCGATTTGAGATTTTATTTTAAAAGTAACAAAATATTGACATGAATTTTGTTCAACAAAATAAAAAAATCAAACACAAAATCGGATTTCTCTCTCTCTCTCTCTCTCTCTCTCTCTCTCTCAATGTTTGTACTGTAAACCTAAATATTTAGTGTTTGTGTTTTATAAATATTTGATTTGATTTTCTTTTTTTGAATAAATGTTATATTGATTGTCAAACATTGCAAACTATACCTCTCTCTCTCTCTCTCTCTCTCTCTCTCTCTCTCTCTCTCTCTCTCTCTCTCTCTCTCTCTTCTCTCTTGTGTTTTACTTATTTATTAGTATTATAAATGTATGTTTGTATACATGTATTGTGTGATTGAACCGAAACCATCCTCTCAGCCCTCAAATCCGCATTCTTTTAGTTTTATTTTATATTATATAAAAAAAAGTTTATTTTATTTTTTTTTTTTGGATATATAAACATTACATACGGTATATACAGACAGTATAACATATCAAAGATTTTTAATGGTATCAATACTACTACTACTACTAGTAGTAGTAGTGGTTAAATGTAGGCATTTATAGCATATAGATATATACAGTATATAAGCTCTCTGTGAGCTCATGTATCCGATTATTTGTCTCTGATTTTTTTTGTTGTTTGCATCACTAACTC